ACACACACACACACACTCAAAAGCTAAATTTTCATTTTAAAGAAGTGAAAAGTTCTTTAAATGCTCAATTAAAATACATATTCAGTAGCAATAAAGTGGGCCCCAATCCTCAGCCGATATAAAATGTTGATGAAGTATCTCCCCTTATGGCGCTGAATTCCTAAAGTGACCACACAGCGCTATCTGACTACTACCATTATCTTTTTTTGTGAACCCTCAACCATTCTTTGAAGAGCATAACTGGTCATGTGGCTCTTCTTTCTGTGGAACTAACATATTCTGGGAATCAAAGAGCGGAATCAAAGAGTGGGTCCTACCATTATGCACTATGCGGTTATCTGTCAAAGGCATTTTTGCATTATATTTATGTTGCCGTCCACTCCTCCCTCCGCATTCCAGTGTACACTGCCAGCCATCCCTCCCTACCCCATACCTTGATTCCTCCGCAGTGGATTGGATGGTTGAACTGTGTCGAGCATCAATGGAAATTCCCATTCTGATTTCATGCCAATTTATTTAGCCTTGAGCTTCGGTTAATTGCAGCAAAGCGCATGACTCTCAAATGGAGTGCACACAAAAACAAAAGAATGTGTGTTGTGACTGAAAAATCAGCGCTAACATTTTCCACTCTTGCATTTGGAATTAATTTGTCTGCGTTTTAATGAAGCGTTTACTCACTGTCCTCAGTGATGCATCACTAGATCTGCTCACTGATATCATGGAATTGCATATAAAGTACATTTAAAGGAATCTTATGCTTTTAATTATTTTCTGTCTCATATATATGCAGTCATAATGACAAATGTTTATATTAAAAATAAGATTTATTATTTAAAAAAATAATTTCAAATAATAAATAATAATCTTGGGTTTTGCGCACGTAATCTTGACTCCTTTAAACACCCTGCTTCAGTTTTTTTTCTACTCTTGTCTCAGTCAGACGCCAACAAGAAGGGATGTCTTAATATTGGCTAAAGGTGGCTCAAAAGCAGGGTAAACTAAAGAACTGCACCAAATCCAACTAACTGATTTCAAAATGATATCTTCTGGATATTATTTTGAATTACGCAAAGCTGGAAATTGCCAAAATGTGACACACAGTGTCTGTGTTGTGACGTCACTCCAGCATAAATTAAAGGACTACTTGAAAAAAAGTTGGATTTTGGCCTAAAGGTTTATATAATTGCCTTTTTCAATTTATTTTGCCCCATTGTCTTTCTTTAATGCAGGTTTTTGTAAGTTTAAAATAGAATTTTAAAAAAGAGTAAAACGTGAACCTTTCTTACCCAAATAGTCACAAGCACTTTTATTAAATTATTATTAGTTTTTTTTAGTTAAAGACAAATCTGTTTTTGAGTTTCGAGGCTCCAATAGAGAGTAGTAAAAAGACTGAAGAGTTTAAATTCCAAGAAAACATATACCACTTTCAGAGTCAGAAATATTTTAATTGGCTTTAAAAGATGACACATTTGAAAAACACACATTTTGAAAAAACAGAGATCACAAAAGATATAAATCATACAATAAACAACTTTGAAAGTCAAAAGTGTTTGGACACAAAAACAGACATCAAACTGATCAATATATACAGTTACTGTCGCATGTACAAAGAACCCTGTTAATATGCAGTACACTGGGCACATATCAGCTATTTCAGCAAAATACAAACGCCATGACCTTCTTTGAGTAAATCAGTATCAAAATTTTACAGACGCATCTATGTCTTTTTAATGCACTGTTGTGTTGGCTGTGCCCGCTGTGAAATGTGTAGAAAAGCTAAACCAGCATAAAACAACAATATTTAGAACCAAAGTTAATTTAATGAGTTCTTAACCACTGCAGCAGTCTTACATATGTAATATATTTTTCTGTAGACAACATGCTTTCTGAAAATTCAGTTTTCTGAAAGGTGTCTTGTTTGCATCATGACGGAAATTGGTTTCTCTGCAACTTCCAAAGGGCCAAATCACCTTCAGTCTAAACCCATAGCTGTCCACTGTATTCTCTTTCCTCCCCTAGTCACTCCACATAGCAAGTAGTGTACAAGAAGACAAGTTAAAAAAGCATGAATATGTTTATTTGTGCAGATGAAGTTGGATGCTCTACAGGGTTTCACTATAGCTTAGGAATGAATAGGCTACAAAGGAGCTGTGAAACTGACTGTGACAGCCAGTCGATCACTGTGTACTGAACAACAATTACACCACCAGCCAATATACGATAAACAGGTAATACACGGATGTCTGTGCGTCACTTTCTGTAAAGCAAAAAGTTATCCATACAACTACACAAACACATAATACATGCATCTACAATCTTCTAATGGAATGTGGACTCGTTAAGTGCTGAGTTATAAAACATTATCAAATGAATGAATTGTCAAAAGGTGCAGAAAAGACCACAGAAGTTATTTTTGCTGTAAGCACAGAGCAGCTTGATTGTGAGAAGGCAGGATGTGCTACAGTTGAGTCTCAATTACATCAATCAGTTGCATCATATAGGCCATGTTGTAGGCACAGAATGCCTTACGTTTGAACACTCGCGTCTTTAATGAAATGTAGATGTGTATAATTGCATCCATTTCTGCAAATGAATGCTTTTCGGCTGTTGAGTGACTGCGATCGGTTATCTTCAAGGCATTCCACAGATTTTTTTCCTTAGTTTTAATCTGAGGTTTGGCAGTGCCTGTCAAGGATTCTTACATTCCACATCCGAGGGCCTTCCAGTTTTTGTCTTGAAAAAAATTGAATTTTTTTTCTGTCATTTGAAATTTGTTGCTCTGTAAAACACTACTGCTGCAATCTAAGATCTCTGGCACCCCGAATCTCATTCAGTATTTGCCTGTATTTGGTGCCATCCTTTTTTGCTTGCATCTCTACAAGACGTTCAGTCCTTGCTCTAGAAACTGACAGCTACAGCGCGAAGCAGTCAGCACAGTGTTGTCGTGCAGACGAAGTAAGAGCTGTGCATTCTACATGCAGCCCTGTCTGTTACAGCTGATGACATTATGTTAGCTTTCTTCTTATGACTCGTTTCCGAGAGGCTTCTAATTGGTCACATCTTTGTTTTAGCTTTAAAAATAAGTGCTTGTAGCCACATTCAACTTTTAAAATAATGTACATGACAATGCCAAACATCTGTACTTTTTAAAGGCACTATATTTACACAGTTCTGCATGCACAAAACGAGACAATGTATCTGTTGTAACATTAGTTGCATAATGAATTAATATTTTCATGAGACATTCGCCAATAACCAAATCATATTGTTGCATTTGATAGAAAAGTCACTAAAGAAAAGAGGTTCATTTTACGCTGACTGTGGGTAAGGAAACATCTTAACAGACGGTCTTTTTTTAACTTACAAAAAAACCAAAAACCAAAACAAAGATATCCAGTCTGCATATTTGCTGTTGTAAAGAGCGGTGGGTTCTGCGTGGTGGTCTGCAAGCCAAACAAGGTCAATGTGCTGCTTAAGATGTCTAAATATTAAAGTACTTCAAAGTGAGCAGATGATGTTTCATTTAAAACAACGTTTTTTTCATGACTTTGCTGAAATTTCACACTACGCTATGCTTCACAACAATCACAGTACTGATCATGTTCGAGTGCTGGACAATAAAATTCACAGAAGGCTTGAAATGAATGTGAATCTTACACCTTGTCTTTAACATCTGTTCTTGTCTCCTTCTGAAAACATACATCACGCGTCAGAAACACTTTAACAATGGGTCAAATGAGCAGAATATACAGCTATGAGGGATTGTATTGTGGTGTCAGAGGCTTCAAATAAATCACTGCTGTACTGGATTTATAATTTTTGTAATTTGTTTCTTTATACTTATTGAGGCATAACTAGAATATGGACACGTATATATAAGATTTACACTAATCAGTGCACAAAAAGTGAGATTTTTGTCAGTTCTTGCAGAAGTTTAGGCCTATGGCTGTTTACTGGACTGGAATTTAGGCACCAAAGAAAACATCAATGAATCGAGGTAATTGATATGGAATTTGAATTTCCGGCAAGTCTGCAAGTTCACTGGTCAGCCGTTTTGCCCAGGAAAGACTTTTACATGTTTTAGATTTCCTGAACCATTAATGATTTAGACAATATATGTCTTTCAAATCGTTTACTGTATGGCACTATGGTCCTTTATGCTACAGTCACTCTAACGAAAACAGTGGCTGGAGACTGCAGCACGGACAAAGATTTTTGTAGCTATGTTCAATGAAATTGTGATCTTTTTGCCTTTGAAATGGTCCCTTCAAATACAGTGACCAAATCTGGGACCGTTCGCAGTCGGTTGCTCTCTTTAAAGTACCTTTGGTGTGACTGCAATAAAACGGCATCAATCTGTTTGTGTTACGGCAATTAACTGCGGCATATCACATAGGGCTGTTCGATATAACGATATATATCGGATGACGATATAAAAACGTCTATTGTTTCATTTTACGCTATAGTTTGTTTCGTGATGTCGCAAAATAAACTGTTTACGGCAATATTTTTTCACCGTTTTGATGGTCACTGTAGTGGCTATATTAATTTCTTAAAGTTCTCTTTTTCTCTTATATTTTATATAACCACACTACCGACTGACAAGCGCCTGTTTTTATGCGTTGTGGTTAGCAACAACGACGGTAACATCATCGTGTGTCCGCTTGTTTATGTACCACATAAACTTTTCACAATAAAACTGAAGATCCTGTTGAGACTTTTCAAAATAAACTGAATCACGTGAAAGAGCAGATTATTTACGGATGAGAAGTAGAAAAGAGCCGCCAGGTGCTAAAAAATAAACCTTAGACTCAAACGTTAGAACAGGCTTTTCGCCGTGTAATAAATACTCACAAAGAAAACGGGGGCTGTTACAACTTTTGTCTAAAAATGTATCGTTTCATGCATCGGTTAAAACACTCGACTCCAGCTTCCCGCAAGTCGAGCTGCCCGAGATTCACAGAATTTACAGAAAATGTTACATTTTTGTGATTTATATCGTTATCGGGACGACAGAATTCTTATATCGGAATATAAGATTTTGGTCATATCGCACAGCCCTAATATTACATCAATATGTTACCGGGTGTTGCAAATCATTCAAGGGAATTCACATTACACAGAAATTCACATTATCTACTTACATTCAGACTTCCACTAGAACCTCATTGATAGATTTGAAACAAAAATTCAAAATTCCTCCACAAATAGCAAGCATAAACTTTCGAATGGCGACACGCAAGCAGTCGGTCTGCATTTATAAACCAGACCGCAGTTATTTGGAAACATTCACCAGTCTGATAGAGATTGCAGTCAGTAAAAGTCAGACTGCAACTGTTTAGAGACTGGTTGCCTCTCACTTGGTGTGCAGCTGTTTTGTGATCGCAAAAGTGGTTGTCCACAGGTTGACACCCTTAACCTCTGGATAGTTGGTTGCCACAACTACTTGCAATCAACTGCTAAATGTGAAAAAAAAAAAAAATGTAATCATTGGACAAGTATCAAGTAGCAAAGAGGTTGACGTCCTAATTTTACTGCTGTGGCAAGAAGGATGTGGTTTTTTTTGTGACTGAGCCATACGGGAATCTCACTTTCACAAACATGAAATGAATAGATGAACTGCAAGGCAGCAGCTAAAATACTTTGGTAATCCGAATATTATTTACGATTTGTAATTTCTTTGTCTGTTATACATAACGATGTCACAAAGGTTTAGGTGATCATGTTTTACAGACTTAACTGTAAATGTAAAGCTGATTCTCTCCTCCATCAGAAAACACAAACAATCCTCTTATGATCTCATGAACCACAAAGCTGTCATAAAAAGACAGCTCTTCAGGTAAAAGCTTTAATAGTTTTGAAGAAACAATCTCAATTATGGCTAAAAAGGCAAAAAACCCCAACCCCAAACGTAAAACGCCTTGAGCAATAAAAATGTGATTACAAGGCAGGGATAAAAGCAGTCAGATTGAAGATGTGGGAAAACAGTTTAAAGCCTTAGTTAAAGTTTACGGAGGCTGCAAGATGAGTCATTTTCTGATTTTTAAAAAAAATTCTCCTTCTACTTATGAAACAAGATTGGTTTAGCCAAACCTGCCAAGATCTTTGGTACATGTACTGAGATTATTTCTCCAATCATCTCTGGAAAGCTGACCTTGGTGTGAAATGACTGAGCCTGGACAAAAAGGTCAAAGGTAAACTGATGGAGCTTCTTCACGGTCTGAAACAAAGGAGAAAAGAAAATTACATAATGTGGATGAAATTTACTACACATAGTATTTGGACAACAGCTTGGGGCACATGAGTCACATATACACACAGTTAACGCTCTGGCATAAAAATGTGAGAATATGAATCATAGTAAACTCATCCAGTAGGCCTTTTCCTGCCTCGAAGACCACTTCTGAGATTCTGACTTCTGAGTAATATTCTTTTCCAATACTAGCATGAAGGATGTGTTTTGTTATGGGCTATTAAAGTACTCCATCCTATGTGATTTAACTGGATGTGTTTCAAACAAATGTTTTAGTGTAATATAATTACAGCTCCTGCTTTACACAGTTTTTCCATTTTTTTCTCTCAAATTTGTAAGCCTCTTTTAGGAACGTTTACAAAAGTATGAATGTATCTTTTTGGAATAAGGATTTTTGTTTTTAGCCTGAAGAAACATCTCACCAACTCACCATCTGGAGAGAGTCCATGAGTCGTGTGAGCTGGTAGAACCTCTGAGATGTGTTCGTAGTCGTTTGATAGTTGATGAGGCGGTCGAGTTCGTTGATGTAGGTGAGACGCAATTCGTCAAAGTACTTCTGACTCTTCAGACCCTCAACGGGAACTGGTGAAAATAGAAAGAAAAAAATCATGTTCATTTCTGACTGTACTCACTCCTCTGTATGTCCACTTCTTTATGTTTTCATTTTTCGCACGCTGAAGAGTACTTACTAATGCTAAAGAGGAGCAAGGCCTTCATGCAGAGAAACTCTTCCTGGGTGATCTGCAACATCTCAAACTCCTGAGAGAGATGCCTCATCCGTATGCAGTGCTCGTACATGGTGGAAACGTGCATTCTGTGTCTGCAAATGTTAGAGGAAAAAAAGGTCAGGATGAGGGGATGTAACCTAATGGGAATGTTCAAATCGCAAGAGGTGAAGGAGAAATTGCTTTACACCTTGGACATTTCTCCAGTAATCAGTAACTACTGAAGAGGAAAGAATGTCAGAGGTTAAATCCATTTCCATCAGGCACACTGTCTTTGAATCACATTATAACAATACAGATTTGTGCTGTGTCATCTTTGACATTAGTGCTGAGGACGTTAAAAACACACAAAACTCTTTTACACCAAAATCCAGTCATCCAGCCTAAGCTCAAAGTTCATGATGGGAGCTGATTGGGAATTTAATGTTCGTGCCTGAATGATGGGCAAAGAAGACATTTGTTATCAAACTTTGCCATCTCTTCTAACACGAAATCAATTTGTCACTTATTATGAAGCCGGCAAAAGACAGTTTGGAACATATTCACATTTTTATTCTGAGAAAATAAAGGCAGAATGAAGCAAATTTTGGGAATTAGAATACAGATGTCAGGGGGAGAAAAAAAACTCAAATTGAAAAAAAAAATGGCATGAAATAGAGAAATGAAATGGAGCTGAATTTTCACCTTCTCACAAGAAATAAATGCAGAGTTTCCAATATGTGTCGGTATATATGAATAATAGTCACCAGGAAGCGTATAATCCAATTATATTGGACTTTCTGGAAAAGCTAACGATGAGTTATGAGCCAAGGTAAAAATAAATTGTAGGTTGGAGCAAGTTTTTTTTCCCCGATTCATGATGATAGTCTGGATACTGAAAAGAAAATGACTGCTCTTTAATTCTATCTCGATAGCATCGCAGTTGATAGCCTGTCTCATGTTGAAGTGGTAATGCTGTTTTATTATATCCATGAAATTAAGCCTGATAAATGTACATCTGATGTGACTGTGGTGTCTTAATTCTCCAATTATGTTGACTGTAATAGGGTTTTTACCCTCTCTAAAGGACAGCCAGCTCGGCAGGAGTAGGAGTGGTAAGCGGCTAATTTCAAAGGTGACAAGGAGTACTTGAGTGCAGTAACACTGCCGCTCACATTTCTTTCACTTAGTTTAAATTATCCACATTTCTGACTTTTATGGTTTCCACCAGCCCCAAATCTGTCCTTAAAAGTTGAGCTCCTGGTTCACCGCACCTTGAAAAACAACTGGCAAAGTGGTCACAATCACATTTCCGTGACTTAGCAGGATTTGAATTTTGGATGTAGACGGCTGTACTTTTTGAAAAGTCACATTAGTTCTGCATGCTGTTGAATGTTGCTTTGATTTATATTTTATTACCCCCAAATAATGCCTGTCTGTGTAGCTACTTTACAGGCAATCAGCTCATTTAATCCAGTCATTTGATCCAGTTTTTGGCAATGCTTTTCAATTCTTTAATCTGTGCACTCTTTTATACTTAAAAGTATATTTTTTATATACTTTTAAGTATAAAAGAGTGCACAGATTAAAGAGCTAAACTTATTTGAGGTTATTACAATTAAAACATTTCTTTTTTAAGGGTCATGATCTCATCCTCTTCCAACTCTATCAAACTGCCATCTTTGGAATAACCCTTTAATAGAACTAACCTAAAGTACTATCTTTTCAACATTTCATACTTTAAAAAAAGAGGTTGTGTTCAACAAGATGCTGCCTTTACCTACAATTTTAACAATTTTAAATATGAACCCACTAAATGAAAATGCAAGTCATTTAGCCTTTTAAAAACTGTTCATACTCACAAGCATTTTCAGTCACTATGGAAACTTGATACAGTAAAATATCCTCATTATTTATGAGCATAAAAGCCTGATTTTGATATTGTATTCTTGCATCACATTAAGTTAACATTTTTCAAATTTACATCCACTGGCTACTTTATTAGGTGCACCTCACTGGAGTCAGGTTAGGCCCCTTTTGCCTTCAGAACTATTAATTCTTCATGGTAAGGTGCTGGAAACATTCCTTGGATATTTTGGTGCACATTAACCTGCTAGCATCACACAGCTGCTGCAGATACTTCGGTTGCAAGTACAAATCTCATACAAATCTCCTGTTTCACCATATCTCATATTAGTTCTACTGGATTGAGATCTGGTGATTGTGGTGGCCATTTGAGCACAGCAAACGTCTTATCATGTTCAAGAAATCAGCGTGAGATGATCAGAGGTTTGTGACATGGTGCGATAAAAAGCAGCCATCACCAACACTAGGCTGCATTGTTTGAGGCAGGATTGATCCATGCTTTCATGCTGTTTACACCAAATTCTGATCCTACCATCCAGATGTTACAGCAGATATCAAGACTCATCAGACCACACAGCATTATTCCAGTTATCTGTTGTCCAATTTTGGTGAGTCCATGCAAATTTCAGCCTCGGTTTCTTGTACTTAGCTGAAAGGAGTGGCACTCAGGTATCCAGTGCCTTCTTTCACTGTTACTGCTCATCTGAACACACAATATGTTCAACTTGGGCTAGACGGATGTATTGTGTGTTTAGAAATACTCTTCTGTATACCTTGGTTCTAACAAGTGGTTATGAATGATTTTCTCTTCTTATAATTCTTATACTTCTTATCTTCTTTTCTCTGTATCTATGAAGCGCCTTGAGGCGACTTTTGTTGTGATTTGGTGCTATATAAATAAAATTGAATTGAATTGAATTGAATTGAATTATAAGCTTAAAGCAGTCTGAGTCATTTTACATTCAGACCTCTGACATCAACATTCACCCAGAATAGCCACTCACTGGATATTTCACGTTTTCTGAACTCAGTAAATCCTATTGTAGAGATGGCTGTGCAGGAAAATCTCAGTAGATCAGCAGTTTCTGAAACACTTCAAAAAACACGCCAATTTAAAGTTACTTAAATCATCTTTCTTCCCCTTTCTAAAGCTCAAAATCTGGCAGATTGTCTTAGCTGTAATTGTAACACATAAACGTAATGAGTTGTTGAAACTGAACAGGTATACTGTGCATAATAAAGTGGCTGGTGTATGTACATTGCACATTTCTTCCAGGCTGTAACAAATTTGCACTGGTGCTGCACATATGTTTAAAACTACTGTGTAAAAGGATCCTGTACATCACCTGCTTACACTGTTTGAACCAGACAACAACTGATATGTATTATCTACTCCCAGCAGACGGTGTCAGTCAGCATTTGATGGAGCTAAATAAGAATTCATTTCTTGTAAACATTAGTATTCCCCACTAACTCTCACACAGACATCGCCATTGTTGTTGACGTCTGAAATATTCAGATCGGATTCATCTGCACTCTGCGGGGTTACGAGAGTCCGAATGCTAAAAAATTTTCCTTACTTTAATTTCACAGCAACAAAAGAACACCTAAGGAGAAAATTGGATGAACACGCTCTTTTAAAAAGCCTGAAACTATTTCTGCTTTACATTTTTACTCTGGATATGTTTTTCTGTTTGTCTGTGAACGGGAAAGAAAATGAAAGAAAGAAGGGAAGATAAAGTGATGAAGGCAAATGAGAGCAGCTGCTTGCTCGCTGGTGGTGATCTCTAAATATAATGAGGAGCACAGCATGTCAGTGACCCACTAATGGAATCCTTTCAGAGGATTATTGAATTCTAGAATTCAGAGCTGGACATACTCATTGAACACAAGGTCTGGGGCAAAGTATAGCATCCTGCCACTGGCATTCTTGTAGGACCTCCATCCCAAGGCACACACCATCACCCCCATCCATGACTGCTGAATGACAGTCATCTGGTCATCCACATGGAGATTTCTGAAACCTGGGGACACACACACACAATCACAATCAAAAATGAAATAATCTAAACTCTATCAAAGCACTCATTGTATGATTATGCGAGTTTGAAGATTGTGCCAGGACTCAGCATTTTTATATACACTTTTTTTAAATTATTTTTTAGGGAAACTTTCAGACTTTATTTGATCAGGTAGTAGAGAACAAACTGAAGAGCAGGGAAAGAGCAAAGGGAGTGACATGAAGGGAACTGTTCAAATGGGCAGAAACCGGCAGTCTTTCACTTGTTTGACCAATTGAGCTATAGAGTTGCCATAGCCACAGCTTTATGTGACTGTTCTAGTGACCGCCTTGGGTTGAAAAACAAGACTTAAAAGAGGATGAACAATGAAACGAGCAAAAGAAATGATTCTGTACAAGTAATTTCCTACCATATAGGACTTGTATATCTTAATTTGGTAAAATCACATCCAATTTTGATATTGTTATGGTTTAAAGTTAGAGGAGTAAGCAATCTGACTGACACACGTCCCAGAAAACAGAGTTTAGTCCATTGCTGTTTGGTAATCTTCACCGCTGCTAAACTGACTAAATGAGCTGGAGAGTATGTCAGTGTTGCCATTTTTATCTGGCAAATTATATGACTTTGCTATGACGTACAGACCCGTTGACCAATAAGTTTTGTTAGTTTTTGTCAACTACCTTTTTTTTTTCTTCAGAAAATAAGACGATAACTAAATAAAAAATAATCCGCGAGGTCAATAAGTAAAAACGAGGTGAAAATATTCTGGAAGGAGACGAGATCCATTCAGAAGTAATCGCTCATGTAGCTCCCATACTTCCTGTTTGTTTCCTGTCAAAATGTGACAAAATATATCAATTGTAGCAGCCCTTGGCATCAAGAACGACAGAAGAGTCTCTAACGGGTGCAGCCATTTATTTCCGCACCACACACGGCTCATTCTCTGGACATCATTGAGCACCGTGAAAACTCAGTCCGCTTGCCCAGGGTGCAAACTCCCGTGAACACTTAAACAGTTGGCTCGTTTCTCATGGGATGCTGCTAGCTTGAGTGACACACATGTCTAAGGGACTTTATACAGCTTATTCCTGTGCACGACCGACTGCTCAGGTTACAGGGCACGCCTCTGAGCTCATCCGTCATTAATGCTACTGCGCATAAAGTTCTGACAACCCCCGTAATGATGATTTATAGTACAGACCAGCGGTTCATTACATCAATGAAGAAGGAAAGAGTAGACATATGGACACATTTGACATTTGATGTCAGGTAAAAGAAGATGCTTTGTATTTCGTGTGGAGCAACTCCGAACCGACTTTAGGTTGGAGGTTCTATGATTTTATGATATTTAGTCGACTACAACTAAAAGCATTTATCTGCTTAAATAAATAAATAAAAATTTGCTCTCAAAATTAACTCTGACCTCCATAAAATTTTTCATATCAGTTTTGGCTAGCAAGACCCCTCCCTCTTGTCCAAACGGGGAGGCTTCAGAATTCAGAAAGCAGTAGGTGATGTCACGATTGCTACATCTGTCTTTTATACTAAGTCATTGATAATGACACAGGACATGCTGATTCTTTTTAATCTTTTAAAATACTGGATAGGCATGTGGCTGAGAATTAGAACGGGAGAGAAAAGAAGGTCAGTAGATCGATGCCCACAACCAAGGTTATTATAGTAAACTAAACTACTACTAACTCAAATTAGATGTGAAAAAACTTTTTGTTAACAACAATAAAAACTAGGCTTTTGAACTTAAATGATTTAGTGAACTTGGAATATTATTTACTGATTTTCCTCAATCTTGCTTCTGACACGTTCTCCATTCAATAGAGACAAGAAAATCCACTCTGGAAACTAACTGAAGCTAAGCGATGTATCAATCAGTGTGCATGTGTGTGTGAATGCTAACAAGGTGCTTAGATAGAGAAAACAACACTTGCATGTGTGTGTGACTGGGGGAATGAGTCTTGTAGTAAAAACTAATATGAATGCAGAGTTACAGTAGAAAAATTAAGATATTAATTGTCAGTGCTCCCCATCACCAGTGCTTGCCATCACCAGTGTGTGAATGTGTGTGTGAATGGGTGAATGACTGAATGTAGTGTAAAGCGCTTTGGGGTCCTTAGGGACTAAGTAAAGCGCTATACAAATACAGGCCATTTACCATTTTACCACTTTATTTAATCTTTAATCATTTAAACGCAGATATTTCTACTTCAACCAGTAAGTTTTGCAGAAGCTGAAATGCTGTGAAGGATTTTGCTTCTCTTGTTGTCCAGGACAAATGCAGACAGTTTGGGCTTAAAACAGTAATAGAAAAGGTGGAGAAATGGGAGAAAGAGGAGAAAAGAAATTAGTGAACCGTTAGTGAATACCCTCCCTCTTGTCTCTCCAGCTGCTCAGAATGGAAGGCATCCAGCCCTCTCCAAGGACACAATGGGGGAAATAAAAAACATGAATGAATGAATGGGTGAAAGAATGAATAGGCTGTGGCTAGGGACTTCCCCAGCAACAAATCTCAAAGTCTATCAAAATTCCCCCCAAACACCAAACAACAAACTTTTGTGTTGTCTTTGATTCATAATTAAGTATAACGTGTCACCAAATCTATTTTTAATCTGATGCAAAAATAAATAAAATAAAAAAATAAAAACACTTGGCTGTTTCTCTTTCTGGGCTGTGCACAAAGGCTGGAGTACACAACTTTAATTCAGCGATCAGAAACTAAAACATTTTAGCTTGGTGAAGTGACATCTGTTTGAAAACTCTCTGTGAGTGTAGACTATAGAACCAGAGAGTGAGGAACAAATTATGCCTGTTTTGAACTTGAATGTTATTTGTCTGTGCCAATAATTGTGTTTGTATAGATTGCAAAATGCTCATGCTTGTTCTGAACGTCACCAGACTATTTGCGTGATTCGCTTGCCATACCTGCACTAGAACTGCCTCTCGGGTCATCTGGCACATGGCCTGATGTTCCAAAGAGCAGGTCAAAAACCTCTAGTAAGGCAGCTTTTAGATTTTATGCAGCCTGCCCATGAGGTCTGAAATCATCAAATGCATATTCCAATTCTTTTCATTCCAATCAATCCGACTTTTTTTATTAGAATGTCTAGTTTCTTAATTATTCTTTTAAAAATTTTTTTCATGTACTGGTTTTGAGATCTCATTATCAGTTTGTTAGTCTTCTGTATAACATTTTGAGGTCATATGGTATCTACTGCAGAATGGTGCACACACAAGAGCATCTATCTAACAACCTACAGGCAAAACTACTAAATCTTTACATAGCTGCAAAATCACAGTCATTAAAACAATGTCTGCTGCACATGTTTGAATTTCCTCATTGTTGTGTTTTAATATGGGGCAAATTATTAAAACAACCTTTTTCAAACATTTTATTATGGGTAGGAGGAGAAGAATAGTTTTCTGTGACTGGAAAATAACTGATTTCTTTTTCCATTTAGTTTTTTTTTTTGGTGGGAGGAATCATCAAGCTCTACCACCACAGCCTGTCTGGGTTTTGTGTCCAGGTGTATGAGCACAGTGACACCTCTTTTCTCCTGTTACATTTTTCCTATCAGACAAAAGAAAAAAGGTCACAGGTTGCAGCTCAAAAATCTATCAGGAGAGCTGTTCCGCTTCATTGTCTTACAGGTTGGACGGTTCTTACGAGACCGAATCATATTTAGAATTTGAAGAAAAAAGAATAATTTATCTTCGCGTGTTTTTTTTTTTCTCTCATCTTAACGACTGATCAAATAATACTTGTATGTGATGAGAGGCTTGTAGTTACAAAGCCATAGTAATCTTCACCTCACTCTTCAGTTCCCCTGAGCTCTTTGGAGCATTTTGGCATTCTTTCGCTCATTGTATTGGTTTCATTCACTCTCTTTGCTCTCATCAGCAGGCAGCTGTTTTTAGTGAAAAAGCTCTCATAAACCCACAGAACCTTACATTGCCAGCACCAAATCACATACAGACAGTGACGAGCCAGTTTCATGCTGGTTAATGACAGTGAAACAAAATCACCAGCCAATTACGCAAAGGTGCGAAGTCCAGGTTTTGTGTTTGGGCAATAACTTTTTGGATAGTTAAGTTTGCGTAAGCACAAATGTTCAATTTACATTATGGAGCCGTTTCTGTGACATACAGTTGGATGAGCACAGTGAAAGAGAGTGGCTAGACAGTTTTGTCAGGAGTTTGTAGAGGCCATAACAAAGCTGAGAGCAGATGTACATGTATTTCTTAAACACAATTACTAATGCTGCTCTGTGTCTGCCGATTGCTTAAATGAGTAACAGTTTTAACTTTTAATTTAAAAGTGGCAGCCTCTGTTGAAAACTGGGCAAAGACACAAAGACAGGCCATCCGGTGTACTAATCTCTTAAAGATAAAACTGGATCTATCTGCTAATGATAACTCAAAAGCAAAAAAAAGATAATCTTAACACCTCTGCTGCAACCACTGTCCTACCTGGCAATCCTTTTGCCCATTTGACCACTTTGACAAGTTGTCTCTCTCCCAGTTCGTTGAGGCTGGTGAGCAGGGTGGCAGCGGAGTCTGGCTGGCCACAGTCATGGCCTGCATTCACAACCTCTGGCTCAATGGACTCCAGGATGTTGAGGAAGACCAGGTGGGAGTTCAGTTGCACACCAGATTTAGGAGAGAGATGCGGATCCACTGGATCCTGAGCACCATGATCTTCTTCTGGGCTTTTCTGTTGTCCAATCTTCTTCAGCTTACGTGCTATAAACAAAAAAAAAAAGGATTTCATGTCTGTAAAGGTAACAGTTCTCATCAAGTTCAGGTTTGACAGATTTTTTTAAGTTATCAATCCAAATCTACATCTGGACAAATACAAGGGGAAGGTTTCTTCTTATCCTGTAGCAGCCATTCTGGCTAAATGATGTCTTCAGAATAAAATTATGTTATTATTAACAGCAGCTGGCTGATGCCATAAAAGATTTTCAGTTATCATTCTGATAGCTTGATTTCAATGAAAATTAATCAAATCAATCCATTACATCCCCACACGCCATCTGGAACATATGGCCCTTTTTTATATGTAATATTATAGGAAACCAGAAAAAAGCATTAACAGACCATACAAGTACTGCTGAAATACTGCTTTCCTCTTTCCAAATAATATGTCAGAAATGCCCCATACTGCAACTGTGGACTGTGAACTATTTTAAAAGAAATATTAAATTTGTCTCAATAATACTCAATACTGTGCTACTAATAGACTAGAATATTGAATCATATTTGATTTGAAAGAGGACTCACTGAACAGATGAGCCTCGTCTGATAGAAAGCCTACCGTCATCATGTGCGAGTCCTTACTGGTAATGCGGACATGAAAATATTCTTTTTCTTTTTGCCTTTGCAGAGTCCTAAAATATTTCCTTTAACTATACAGTTCAGTAAATTGTGCATTTCTACCTTACAATTGTGTTTCTTTGTTCAATGTATGTATCTTAAGAATTCAAAGACAACAAAAGCAACACCAACAAATACTGTATGTTAAAGTAAACATACTGGTTTCCTATCTTGAGCTTAACAAAGCTGTAATTTCTTCCTCCACAAATGCTGAAAATCCTGCAGCAGCTGCTCCATATGGCAACCTGCACTTACAAACCAAATTAGAGCAGGAGAAGCTGCCAAATACATTTAGCTCTTTAGCAGTCAGATTTAAGATCACCTATAATTTTTTTTCCTAGAACAGTTTTATGAACGGTTAAGCTTCGGCTCAGCCTGTCATTTGGGAATGTCAGCCCTGCTGAAGAGCTAGTGACAGGAAAATACAAATGGCAACAATGTGATGAGTGTACTGAAGAACACACACTTGTGTGCTCTGGCGATTTTGTGCAACAGGATCTTTTGTACAGGTGTAATTTTACAATATATTTCTCTGACAATTAATCTGTTGTAGTGTCTGGGGGAAACAAAAAAGACAAGAAGATGGAGAATGAGACTATGAGGAACATATTAAATTTTTAATCTGTTTTATCAAAGCTGAGTGACAGTAAAAAAGTAACTGTTAATTGTCGTGCAATTGCCTCTTGCAGCTTCTGTGTGTAGAGAATGTCTAATTAAAACTGCAGCCTGGCTCTTCAGTTTGATAAATATTGAGCTGCCAGTTATAGACACGACTTAAGTCTCTCTCAGGAGTGGCAGAGCTGAAAGAAAATTGCAGATTATATAAGATGGATAATTTGTAAGTCTCACATTTTCACTCCTGATCCAATAACAAATATTTCAAGTAAAAATGGTTTATTAAAATTTTTTCCTTTGGATTCTCAACTGGTGACACAGGCAGGCATCTAATCTTTGCAGAGAACAATGTAAATGGTTGGGTCGAGCCAACGTGACACTCTCCATACTTGAGTTGAAGCCAATATAAAGAGACAGAGACACCCAATGGGTGGATTCAGGCTTTGTTACGCTCAAAGACTTGGTCTAGGAACAATAAATATGTCAAACCAGTAAAAACCACCTGCATTAACTTGTATACGTTGACCAGTATACTGAGCTTTGGCATCCCTGTCAATATTTCCAGCTCAAAGTGGCAGTAAATAAGCTGCTCTCTTATCCAGAACAAACCCATTTTCTCTCATATCAAATTCCACAGACCAACTTTACCACTCTTTTTTTGCCAGGTCGATTAGTTGCTTTTGATAGTATCTGCATCACAATCACAATATTTATAGAATTCTATTTTTGGATTACTTCGTCTCATGTGTAATGTCTTGCATTCTAAGTTTTGTCATTAGTTGTAAATTTTGTTTCTGAAATTATGAAAGCGTGATAGGATGGCAAAACTGAACATTAAACCAAGTCACAAAGCGTCACGTGCCAGAGAAATGCTCACATTTGTCATGGTCCTGGGTCGGTGACCCAGCACCTTTTGTTTATTATCATTTTCTAGTTTATTATGATGATGATTATTATTGTTTGAGTTCTATGTGTTATATTCAGTCTGCCTCTGCGTCTGTGTCTCTGTCTGTCTATGGTGTCACCCCGTCTGTTTGTAAATCTGTCTGTTTAGTTCTGTGTCTTGTTTGGTTCCCCGTGTCTGAGTTTCCTGTTTTATTGTGAAGGTCTCTGTTTGATGTGTGTGTTCAGTTTACGTTTCCCCTGTCCCGTCAGCTCTGATTCCTCCCAGCTGTGTTGCCCTCCTGTCTCTCATCCCCTGATTACTGGTGTGTGTATTTAAGCCCTGTGTGTTTTCCTGCCTGTTGCCGGTTCGTCTGTGTTATTCCGTTACTCTGTGTTCCACGGTGTCCTGTCCCTCGTCCGTGTCTCTCTGCCTCTCACCCCATTCTGGTACCCTCTCAGGTTTGTCATTTAGCTTTCCCAGTTTAGGTCTTTAGTTTTGTCTTCCCTCTTGCCTGTTTTGCCTTCTCACCACTGTGTAAATAAAACATCACCAGCATTATCATCTACTGCCTGCGTTTTGGGTCCTTTCTCCCTTCAATACCACACGGCTCGCCTCGGCAGCCGTGACAACATTTCTATATAAACATAAGAACTGTAAATGCAACATGCAAGTTCTTTACATTGCATGAGCCTGGTTCTGCTGGAGGTTTCTTCCTGTTAAAAGGGAGTTTTTCCTTCCCACCGTCGCCAAAGTGCTTGCTCATAGGGGTTTTTTCTCTGTACCTATGAAGCGCCTTGAGGCGACTTTTGTTGTGATTTGGTGCTATATAAATAAAATTGGATTGAATTGAATTGAACATTGTATACCATAATAATATATGGTAATGAAATCACCAGGACAACAATATAATATTTTGATCAGAAGCATATATATTTGTCCATCCATCCACACGACATTTGAGTTCTGTTTTGGGAAAAATGCAGCTTAAACTCAGTTGAATGGAATAACATAATTCATTCAAATAATTTATTCAAAAAACAGTGAGGGAAATACGCTCAGGATGAGCAATCAGGTTAAGTTATTTTTAGCTCGTAAGTGTGTAAATACCTTGAAATTTTACATTGCCGTGATGTGACGAATCTAGATTAAAAAAACATTTAATAACGAATGTAATAAAATGTAATAAAATAATTAAAAAGATTTCTTAGTCAGCTTTTTGGCCCTAAATATATTTTTTAATTGTTTCTGTAAGAATAAAAACTTATTAAACCTTTACTAGTTCTTCCTATTTTATCTTTGTATTACTTTAAATACCAGCATACCGTAAATAGATATGAAGTTAACTGTGAACCATAAAATCATCTAATTAAAGAGAAAATCTTTCATGCAATTTATTTTGTTTTTTCAGGGAGAAAAAATCACAATGGAATGTAGAATTCTCAAAGACTCACAAAAACACATGTATCAGATTTGATATGTTTAGCTTTGAAGGGTTAAAACAATGAATCAACGCTGGGACAATGTAAAACTTTCTGTTCAGTGATCATTCTGGACTTCACACCGCAGCGTGTTTACTTGGAAACACAGATTTAGTGTTCCTGTCAAAATGTCAAGTAAGTGCATGAAATGTAAATCCTGAAAAAAAGTGTTCATTATCTCCTCTTAATTACTACTGTTCTGTTTTTTGTATAGTATTTTATGCATTTGTACACACAATATAGTGTGTGATGCAGCTGATTTGAAAAAAAGAGAAAAAAACTATTTGACTGCACAGAAAACATTAAAACTACATAAAGAAATAGCAGAGAAAGCTCAGAGGTTAACGAAGAGAAATTATTATTCAGTTTATTTTGCCTGTTTTTGTCCCTTCATCCTGGTAAGACATGTTGTAATGCCCTCCTTTCATGTTATTTACTGACCAGTTTTGGTTGGTAAGTCTGTTATTTCAGTTAAATCATTTTGAGAGTTTTCTGATTGGCTGTTAAGCACCAAGAGAGAAACTGTAACTGCTTACAACTGTCATTAAGTATTTTAATTACTGTTTTAAAATGGGTTTTTTTTGTGTGTTTTTCTGAAAAGACTGCACTAAACAAACAGAATAACAACATAAAAATTTGTTCTATATCTAATGAGCACTTGGATTTTTTCTTTGAAGAGAAAATGGTGAGATATTATATAGCATTTTAGTAAATTAAATCTAATTAAATAAGTAAATGAACTTTAGTTATTTATGATTTTTGTCTTGCTATTGCTGCCAGTATAAAGGGATTAGTTAAATCAGTATTTGTCAAAAGCATCTTGGCAGTCACACAAAGGTTGTTCTGAGGTTTTAGAGAGACTAAATGACTCCAGTTCTTTAACAGTACAGGTGCTATATGAATTGGAACAAATTGGTGTTTTTAATATTAGTGAAATCAAGATCTTTGTTAATTATTAGACAATACCAAAAAAGCTTGGGACGATGTATAAAATCTAAATGAAAACAGAATCCCTGAAAACCCATATTTTAATTACATGAGAACTTGAAAATTATCACATTTTTAAACCAACTAAGTGTACCACATTAATGGCTGTGTTTTTACCACAGTGTAGTATTCCTTCTTGTTTCAACAACAGTCTGTATTTGCCTGGAGACCAGACCCTGGACTTTGGAGAGGAACATTGTCCCATCTTTGTGCGATATAAGAGTCTAGCTGGCCAACAGTCCTGGGTAT